CTTCATATTGAGGATCCCCTCTATCATTTTGTGATACTACTACCATGCTAAATGGGAATAGATTTCAGACAGATCTAGCAACTGAAGACTGGGCAGCCAAGAGGCTCTGTGGACTATCAGCAGCAGAATTGTACTCCAACACAATCTGTTACCTCAAGGCCTGGCATTTCCCTAACTCTACCATAGAAACATAGAAAATAACGGCAGGAAGAGACGATTCAGCCCTTTGAGCCTACTCTGCTATTCAGTATGACCATGGCTGATTATCTAACTCAGTACCTTGTTCCTGCTTTTGTCACCATATCCTTTGATCCCTTTAACCCTAAGAACTACATCTAACTCCTAAAAAACATTCAATGTTTTGGTCTCAACCGCGTTCTATGGCAGAAAATTCAACAGGCTCACCACTGTCCAAATGAAGATGTCTCTCCTCCTCTCAGTCCTGAATGGTCTACTCATTGTGACATCTTATTCTGGACTCCCCAGTTATCAGGAACATTCTTCCTGTGGTTTACCATTTCTAGACCTATCAGAATTTTCTAGGTTTCCGTGAGATTTCCCCCTTATTCTTCTGAACTGTAGTGAATATAATCTAAACCCATTCAACCTCTCCTAAACGAAGAGATGCAGGAGCAGTAGTGGACATACCTCAAAATAAGGGTAGCATGGTGGCTCAATGGTTAGCACTACTACTTCACAGCATCAGGGACTCGGGTTCAATTACAGGCTGAGGTGTCTGTTTGTGTGGAGTTTGCTCATTCTCCGTATGTTTGCATGGGTTTCTTCTGGGTGCTCTCAGAACATAGAACTGTACAGCACAGGAACAGGTCCTTTGGCCCACGATGTTGTGCTGAACATGACGCCAAATGAAACTAATCCCTTCTGCCTGCATTGGTCCATGTCCCTCCATTCCTTGCATATTCATGTGCTTATCTAAAAGTCCCTTAAATGCCTATGTATCTGCCCCCACCATCACACCAGCAGTACATTCCAGACTCCTACTACTCTCTGTGAACTTTTCCCATCTAGCCTTAAATGCATGCCCCCTAGTATTAGACATTTCAACTCTGGGAGAAAGATTCTGACCGTCGACCCTATCTATGCATCTCATAATTTTATAGACTTCTATCAAGTCTCCCCTCAGCCTCCGCCACTCAAGAGAAAATAACCGGTGTTTTTCTAGCCTCTTCTTATAGCTCATAACCTCCAATCCAGGCAGCATCCTGGTAAACCTCTTCTGCATCCTCTCCAAAGCCTCCACATCCTTCCTGTAATGTGGTGAGCAGAATTGAACTCAATAAGTGTGGCCTAACCAAACTCTTGCAAAGCTTCAACATGACATCCTGACTCTTGTGCTCAGTTCCCTGACCAATAGAGGCAAGTATGCCATACACCTTCTTTACCACCTATGAACTTGTGTGGCCACTTTCGGGGAGCTATGGGCTTGAACCCTAAGATCCTTTGTTTCCTCCCATAGTCCAAACGTGTGCAGGTTAGATGGATTGGCCATGCTAAATTGCCCAAAGTGTCCAGGGATGTGCAGGGTAGGTGGAGTACCCATGGGAGATGCAGGGTTACAGATAGGGTAGGGCGGTGGATCTGGGTGGGATGCTCTTCAGGGGGGGCAGTGTGGACTCGATGGCCCAAATGGCCTGCTTCCAAAACATAGGGATTCTATGATTCTAAGGTGTCAACCTGTGTGAAGTTGGAACATTTCTTTCATATTACTTGTGCCGGGCTCAAAATGTTAATTCTGTTTCTTTATTCACAGAAGCTGCAAGATCTACCCAGGTTCTTCAGCATTTTCTGCTTTTGTTTCAGATTTCCAGCAACTGTGGTATTTTGCTTATTTTTGACAAGGTGGACTTAAAAAAGATGTTAAGACTGTTCAGGATCTTGTATGTGTCAATGAAGTCATTCCTCAATCTTCTAAGCTCCATTGAAAACAAGCCCAGTGTCTCCAAGCTTCCCTCGTAAGACAACCAGTTCAGTCCAGTTAGCAATCCAATTTGAACTGCATCTAATACATTTACATCTTTCCTTAAATAAGAAGTCCAAAACTGCACACGGTATTTGAGGTGTGGTCTCACTAATACCATGTATAACTGAGCCATAACATCCGATACTTTTATGTCCAATCCCTCTCATAACAAAGGATAGCATTCTATTAGCCTTCTTAATTACTTACTGTACCCATATAATAGCTTTGTGACTCATGTACTGGAACATCTAGATCTCTCTGCACCTCTGAATTCTGCAGTCATTGTTGATTTAGGTAATGGGTCTCCTTTATTTATTATTCTTGCTAAAGTGAACAATTTCATATATTCCCATATTACATTCCATCTTGTTGGATTTTTCCTCATCAGAGAACCTATCTGTAACGTCCTTATCAAAAGTACATAGGTTTCCGAGGAAGGGTCACTGGACCCGAAACGTTAACTCTGATTTCTCTTCACAGCTGTTGCCAGACCTGCTGACCTTTCTTAGCAACTTCTGTTTTTGTTTCTGATTTACAGCATCTGCAATTCTTTTGGTTTTTATTTAGCTTGTAATCTCCTTATGTTCTCTTCACAACATATTTTCCTATCTAGAGATAGTAGGAACTGCCGATGCTGAAGAATCTGAGATAACAAGGTGTAGAGCTGGTTGAACACAGCAGGCCAAGCAGCATCAGAGGAGCAGGAAAGCTTACGTTTCGGGTCTGGACCCTTCTTCAGAAA